TATAAAAGAGGCAGCATATTATGAAAAGTTCTGCAATGTAATGACAGTTTAAAGATTAACATCAAAATAATTACAAAGAATTTACAAACCAAGACAAAAACAATAATCCAATAGAAAAGTAGAGGAGATTAAATAAGGACAAGTAACTCAGAAAAAAAGAAACTAATAAAAAAATGAAAAGATGCTACTTGTATAGTAATCAGAAATGATAATTAAAACAATATCCTCCATCCACTATATTGGCAAAAACAGGAATTAGAAGAAGAAACTGAAATACCAAGTCTTAATGAAAATATGGAAGTTAGGAAAGCATGGGAGTAAATGACTACATTTTGTAAAAAATGTTTCATGGCATTTCATAAAAATTCAAATTTGTTTAACTATAGTAGTTATACTTCTAATCTCCTACCTTAGTAAAACTCAAAAGTAAAAAGGGAGAATAAAAATATTATTGAAGTGTTACTTCTAATAGCAAGAAATTGCAATCTGCCTGTATGTCAATGTAGCAGGGGAAGGGTTATATAAACAGACGTGATGTGGTATAGTGGTGGTATTTAGGACGTGATGCATCTCAAACACAATATAGGATAAAAACAAATCTACAGAGTAAGACATACTGAGACAATGTCTACGTAAAATTAAAAGTATAATAAAAGGCTATATACTCTTATAGATGTGTGTTCATTTGTGATAAAAACTGAGGATAGAATACAGTAGTGCCTAGACCTAGACATGATTCCATACTGATAATACAATGGCTCAAATTAACCCAGCTCTTTTGCCTAAGGTTCAGCATATATCCATATAGTATATGCTTTCAATCACCACAATCCTTGGGACAGGCAAAAAGGGACCCAGCCTCCCTCTCCTCTTTCCCTGTTCTCTCCCATTAAAGAGCACACAAACATCTCTATTCACTTAGATCCACTACTGAGTACCAACTGAGCAAATTCTATAACCACATTCACTCATAAATCACACCTTTCAGACCCAGAGAAACACTTCTCTTGCCTATGCCTTTGAAAGAAAAGTGCAATTAAATGCACTGCTTTCTTTAAGTATTATAAATCTTCTATAATAAAAACAATTCAAGAAGTGCAAGAGGGAATGGAAACCTACAGCTGAACATAAGGAAGGTTGCAGGTTGGGATAGCTATGACATTTTAGTCTCTGCTTCAGAACAAAGGTAGCATTTGTGCAACTCAAGTGCTTAGGTAAGAAAAAAAAAGACATTAATTGTCAAATCCTTCCTCTGGCAGAGTAAGACTAATAGATTCTTGCATAATGAATTATTTCCTAGTGGTGCCAAATGGCCATTTTCTTGTATTCTAATTGTGGCTCTGGAAATATCAGCAAATTAGTGAACAATAGTTTGTAACAGTTGCACATGGTAACCAAAACATTTTGTAGCACTATGCAATTCATATTTAATGCCCGATTTGCAGATTTGCAGACCTAGAAGAACTTCATGAACATAATATGGACTCTTTACAATGGCAGTGTGAACTTTGGAAAAGTTGAATCTCCAAAGGTCCCAAGTTGCTAACTGGACCTAAAATTCAGTATAAAGCCTGACAGCCATTCACTGATTCTACTCTGTGTTTCTGTAAGTATCACAAGCTAAACTTTGAAGTCCAGGGTCTGTTCCTGTTCCAACTGCCCAGATTAAAGCCTCCCCAATCTCCAAAGACCTGACCAATGAACTATGACCTACAGTCATATATAAACATCAACCAATCAGGAATAGAAATGCTAGGAATGCTAACCATGCTTGCACCCCCCTCATTTGTGGTTCCTCTATATAAGCCAGCCTATTCCTTTGGGGGCATATTCCTTTTGTACCCAAAGTTGCCTCTTCCTGGTTTGCAAACTCTTTTTTTAAGCCTCCCTTTTAATTTTAAATTATTTCCTAGTGCATTTTTGTTGACAGCAGTTAGCCGGCCAACAACAATTAGAATGGTAAGTTTATCGTTACAAAAAAAATAGTAAGATTCAGTTATTAAAAAATCTAAAATTTGGTGGTCAATCTTTAGAATAACTCAAATTTGTTTACGTTCTGAATATATTTGCATTTGTTTTAATCCTTAGATCATTACTGTCAACAGAACATAAAATAAGTAGAAAAGGTCTCGATTATGATACAGTGAAATGCATGGGATGTTTATATTTACATACATCTTTCTAACAGCACCGAAGAATTATGGCCAAGAGGCACATTAATAAGGTGGTTTTAATTTCTAGCAATTTTTTCAGAAGGAGATCAATGAAAGAAAAAGGAAAAATAATTTTTATATTGGTAGATAATTTTTTAAGAAAAAGAAACTAATAACCCAGTTTAACATTCCCCCCCAAGGATCAATGAGTAAAGACTGCAGTCCTGCCGGTAGCTTTACCAGGTACTCTATCAAAGAAGTGGAACATCTGCAAATAAAAGGGAAATCTAACTCTAGAAGCAAACAGAATCAGAGCATATATATTCTACCACTCCAATAAACAACAGGAAGGACTGGGGGCACAGAACAACCTGGGAAATCAAGCACAGCTTCTTTCAAGAACAGGGTCATGCGCACAGGGGCTGTGCCAGCCGGCCCGAGGCCAAGGCGGCGCGCATGCGCAGCGCAACAAGGCGCTTGGGACCCAGGAGCGGGGCCACCGCGAGAGGGCGGCGATGAGGCACACCTTCCCCACCACGACGACAGTGTCCACCCCGGCTACTGCAGGGCACACACGTGGCCTGGAGGTGGATTCCGACACCGGCCGTGCTGCGGCCCTCTGCCCGGCCTAGGCACCCACTGCACGCAAGCGCCCACAGCCGTTACCACAGCAGCTGGCCTCAACCGTGGGGACCGCTGGCCTCAACCGTGGGGACCGCCGGCCCGAAGCAGGACTCTCCGCCCCCGCCCTGCCGTCAAGGAGGCCCACCCCGGCACCTGCTCACTTTGCTGGCCGAGCAGGACTCTGCGTCCTGTCCTGGAGCCGTCGCTACCGCCACCGCCGGGCGTCGAGTCTTCACCCCTCAAAAACCGCCAGGCTCGTCAGGCGGTTGACGAAAGGCGGGAGGAGCCCCTCCAATTGGCACCGGCGGTTAGCAGCTCAGCCAATCCGTGCAGGCCGGCCGAGCCCCGCCCCTCCACTCTCGCCTCTGGGGTCTCCCAGGCCGGCCCTGAGGCTAGAGGCCGGGGAGGCTTCCTCTGCTCCGCCAATGGTGTGCGTCGGCCGGAGGGACCAGCAGGGGGCGCAGCGCAGCTGACCGGCCGCCCAAGCCCTGCCTGGCGTGGGACGGGGCCGCCTGAGGGCGCTAAGCGCTCGCGTCAGCCCCGCCCAGGGCGCCGCTGGCGTCTGCTGGGCTCTGGGCCGCCCCAGCTTTGCCTGGGAACACACAGCCCGCGCCCAGCCAGGCTGGCTGCTGCGAGGCCGGTGGCCAGGCACTGGGTACGGATCCCCGCCTCCAACTCATCCTGCCCCGGGACCTGCGTGCACGCTCCCTGCTTCCCTCCTACCAGCAAGTGCTGCAGCCCCAGCCTGTAGGCAGCTGTCTGTGCTGGGTAACCGTCCGCGTGGGAATGCCGTGGCCGAGTGGCACGTGCGCCAGGGCAGAACTTAACAAGGTATTTCAGTAGCAATCTATCTGGAAGGCAACACTTGTTTTAACATATTGTATTAGGCGGCTGGAGTGCAGCTCAGAGTGCACACGCTCAGCCTGCAGGATGTCCTGTGTTGGATAACCAGCACCCCTCCAACACACACAGATAACATTTATATACGTAAACACAAACACACACACACCCCGTCCCCCTATGTATAAAATTAAGATTTAAACATACAGTGGAAAGCACTTGAAAAAGTAAACGCAAGGGAATAAAAACTGAGGACCAAAGCAGATCAAATCATATAGGATAATATAAATTATAAAGCATTTTAAATATTTTGTAGCCTTTTTTGTTGATACTGGGGATTAAACCCAGGGGCATACTTTAGCACTAAGTTACATCCACAGGCCCTTTTAGTTTTTGTTCTTGAATTTTGAAGAAGGGTGCAAACTGCTTAGGGCCTCGAGGTTGTGATCCTCCTGCCTCAAGTCTCCCAAGTGGCTGGGATTACAGGAATGAACCACCATGCCCACCAAGCATTTTAAATATTTTTTAGGTATAATTACAAACTGCCTGACAATTTTGTAAATGCTACGTTGAACCTAATTTTGAGATCTTAACCTGTAAATTCAGTGTACAAAATACATAGGTAATCTAGAGGGATTTGGAGGTGTTTTATAAAATCAAAGTTCTCATGTTTTTGAATTCTTTACACAATTTAGTGTTAATAACATATACATATTATGCATAATGTAAACTCGGAGTGCCTCAACCTCCTGACCTGACAGAATTTCATAATAATCTTCACATCTAATTTTCCCCTAATAGATTTAACATCCTTCATGATGGAGTAGTGAATGCACAGGAATTTTACTAATACACTAAAAATGAAGAGTAGTGATTTTCATCTTCCCTTTTTAGTAAATATCAATAAAGTACAATGTGGAAGAAAAATCTTATTTGTATTTTTTTAAATGTTTTAGATTATGGTGTTTGAAGGAAAACCTTATCAAAATTTGGCTTCCGTGTTAGCTTTTCCTTGCTGTGACCAAAATACCTAAGTTCAATTTAGAAAAGTTTATTTTTACTCACCTTTTCCAAGGTTCACTTCATGGTGGGCAGACTCCATCACTTTGGGCCTGAGTGGAGGCAGAACACCAGGGCAGAAAGGCAGGACAAAGGAAAGCTGCTCCTGTGGCGGCCAGGAGGGGAGTGGGAGGAACCAGGGGGAGGAGACATAATCCCAAGGGCCCCCTCCAGTGACCCACCTCTTCCAGGCATGTCCCACCTGCCTAGTTACCAGTTCTTCTGAGTTATTAATCCAGCAAATGGATCAATCAACTGATGAGATTACATTTCTCATAATCTAGTTGTTCCACTTCCTGCATTAACACAGCTTTCAGGTGGCACCTCATATCCAAATTATAACAGCATTTTTTCCCTGCACTGCAGAAGGTTGAACCCAGGGCCTGTGTATGCTAGGTAAATAACCAACTGCTGAGCTACCTCCACAGCCCCTTTTAATTAAATTTAACAAGCACTTATTGGAAACATTCTGGATGCCATATCACAATGGCCAAAAGAACAAGGAGCTTGTTGTAAGTTTGAAGGCTGAATTGACTACTTACCAGCTGTGGGATGTTAGGTGAATTACTTAAACCTCTTTGAACTTTGGTCACCTCAGCTAACAGAATGGGCATATATATTATCAACCAGGTAGCATATTTTGCAGAATTAACTGAAATCAAATAAAGCACCCATTATTTTGCCTAAACAGTTAAAAAAAGGACAAAATAAATGTTTCATTTCCAACAAGGGCAAGGCTTTGTATTTAACAGGATCACACACTGGTGGAAGGGCAGACAGGTACAATTCCATGCACAGGGGTAAGTGCTGTAAGTAGAATAATTAGCACTCCCCAGGTTCCTTAGAGCTTTCTTCATATGTAATGTTAACCTGGCATAAACTTTCAGTTTTTCAAAAGCATATACAACTCTGTTGCTGAAGGTGAGTTGCAACATATTTTTTTTTTTTAAACTAAGACCCTACATTTATCAGTGCTGTGAAAAGGATAAAACTTATGCATGAAATGATTTAAACAATGAAGTTTCTAAACCTTTGTTTTCTGTGATTAGACCACAAAAAATTCCACTTAAATAGTGCACACAGACATTTTTGCACATAATACTTTAATACTTCAGTAAAATCATTTTCATTGCATTACATTATAATACGTTTGGGGAGACAACCCAGCAATTGCACGATCCACTACAAGCTTTTAACATCTAAGCAATATAGCTTTGACTAGGGTCTGAAAACTCTTGAGCTGTCTATTGAAGCTTTAAAGTTTCAAAATGTTACTTTTTTAAAAGGCACCTAAGGTTCTCTTAATTTTGATGATATAACTATTTTATGACCAGAATCCTTCTGTCAAGTGACTTTCACATAGATGAAAGATACTTTACATGCCTTTAGACAACCCATTTGGCAGCTCTCACTTGTACCTGAATAGTAGGGACAATTGTCTTGCACTCTGGGCTGGGGCCCATAGGCAGAGCAGCCAAGGCCCTCCCACACTTGCTGACCTAATTGGATGGTTTGTTAAGCAGCAGGAGATGCACCAGGGCTTCCCTGTCTTGCATGCCAATGTAGTTCACAGCCCTAACAGGCAAAGAGTGTGCAATTTAATCACAAGATTTTAAATCAAGATTTGGTGTTCTTAGATCAAAAGTTACCAAAGAAGGTCATTGTTCTTGGCACTTTAAAAACACAAAGGTTGCAATTATCAAAAACAAACTAGTTAAAAGGTAAAATGCATCTTTTCAATACTGATTTAGACAAGTGTCAACAGGTATTCAAAAATTTAAGCATTACTCCTGGTGACAGCCATCACAAAATCAACCACACTGGCTTCAGCTGTATCACATGGGTCCCATATTGGAGGTTCTGTCCATCTCAGCTGGGTTTTCATGCATCAATTCTAGCACCTGCTGTCTGAAAGACCACCACTCAGCACCAAAAGAACTCCTCAGCCTCTCCACGGGAGTAGCAGATAACTCTGGAGCAGTGGGCTTGACTACTTAGTTGGAGGTGTTTTTTTTTTTTTTAAAGCATTTAACATTTAAAAACTGGGAAACAAGTCCAGAAAATGTTAAAAATTTCTCCTATCTGAAGGCACAAAGAATAAAGTTGCAGGTAGCTGATAAAAACCTCACATAAGTACAATTTAAAATAACTCAGAAGTATAAAATTTGTGAATTATTTTTCCTCAAGGGCTCTAGCTAATGCTGAAAACACCTTCTAGTTCCACTTGGTAACTGGACTTGGAAAAGACAAATCCTGGAATTTTCTGATGCTTAAAAGGAAATTATAGTCACCTTCATTGTCAAAAAAGTAATTACAAAGGGCATGTTGCTTGAAATTCTACAGTCACCTGAAAATTGAAATAACTTAAGGCAAGATTTCTTGATATGTTTAGGTAGTTTCAAACCCAAACAGGAGGGCCCAAGAGATAATGTGCAGACACACAATTACCAAACAAGAACAAGAAAAGAGCAGGATGGGAGAGGAGGGGGGGGGGCAGAGGAAAGGCTGTTGCCGGTGGCAGCCTCGACTTTCTCCTCAGCTGTTGGTTCGGGGGAGACACTGCCACGAAGCCCAGTGATGGCTGGTAAGGCAGAGGTTTCTGCCTATTAATAGTTGCCACTGCTAGACGGCTACAGGCATTGGCAAGCAAATGAGGTCTCAGATTTTCCTTGTCCCAGGGCAGGAATGCCTCCAGGGACCATAATGCAGGTCACACTGCACATTTTGTTTACAACGGGCACAAACACACAACAGGACTTTAAGCTTATTAAATTCAGAATATTCCTGAGAAGGTATCAGCTATGGGCCTAAGGTCCCAACATCACAATAACAAATATCAGCTAGTTCAGGGACACATTCCAGACACATGCAAAAGGCCTTCCTAGCAGCAGGTGGGTCTATCCCCAAAACCTTGCATGGGTCCTCTCCAGAGAGGCACACACTCCCATGCACCTACCCTCCCAGGACCCTCCCCCAACACACTCCACAACCGAGTTGGCCTGCTGGCTACGTGAGGCTACTCATTAGACAAGGAAATTTCATGTAGAAGGCAGGAAGGGCCACTGTCAAGAGACCTTGAAAAGGAAATGAGTTCAGAACTTGGGGGTGCGGAAGGGTAGGTGAACCCACCAAGAAGTGGCCACCCAGTCAGGAAAGACCTGCAGACCAGCATCTCAGAGCTCCAGGTACCCTGACCGCTGCTCAGATGAAGTGGATCCAGCTCTCTTCACACTCCCCACGTGGCATGTGCAGAGCGTGGTTGCGACATGTGAGGCTGTAGTCTCGGCTGTCGTTGTTGTCCCAGTACTCAGCACCGGCCACTCGGTAGCGAAGGGCGAAGTGCACACGCGATCCAAGCTCTAGCAGGAAGGGTGGCACCGGGAAACCGAAGGCAAAGACGTCCTCAGTGCCTTCAGAGCCTGCCGGCCCGCGCCACCGCGCCACCGCTTCATGCGCACTGCGCCAGCTGGAGAAGGTGTAGCGCACGGCCACTTGCTTCTCGAAGGCCACGTTGCGCACGCGCACCGTACCACTGATGCCCAGATCCGAGCAGGTGACCCGCTCCAGGCACACGAGCTGGCGCTGCAGACGCTCGCCGAAGTCAGCGGCCTCGACAGGCGGTGGGAAATCTGGCACCAGGCACCGCAGAGTGAACTCCAGGTCCTGGCTGCTGCAGCACAGGTCCGAGTTGATGGCTAGCCGTGACAGCACGTGCAGCGGCACTGACGGGTCATCTCCCGCATTAAACACCTTGACCTGGGCCAGCTCCAGGCCCAGAGCATCTGCGAAGCGCACGCGGAGCTGCCGGCTGCAGCCTGGCCGACACGCAGCGCCCTGCGCACCCGAGGCCTTCGGGCGGCGCTCTGGGGAGCTGGGCAGTGAGCGCGCTCGCCTCAGGATGATGGGCCGCAGCTGGGGGTCGCAGCCCATGGGGGCGGGGGCCAGCGGCGCGCGGCCCGGGCTCTCCGGAGGCCTACAGGGCCTTGGCTCCGGGGCTGCGCCCCTGTCCAGGTCCGATAGGCAGCTGAGGCTCCGGGGAGCAGGCTTCCGGAACCCCAAGGCTGGCGGTAGGATGGTAGAGCCTGGGCCTCTGGACATGGCGCAGCCGTCGGTCCGGCGGTGGGAGTCAGAACCGCGGGGCAATCTTACCACTCCTAGCCGGCTTCCTCCGTGTCCCCAGTCCTGTTCCGAAGCCACTGGGTGTCCGCCGGATCTGCAACCTTGCAGGGGACCCTGAGCCCGCCACGCCCTCCCCTCAAGTCCTCACCTTAGGTCCTCCGCTTCTCCCAAGGAGCGGCGGGGCGGGGGGGGGGAAGCACCAAGTATTTTCCAGGGCGCCGAGTGCTTCTCTGGTGGAGCTGCTCGGGCCACCCCGAGAGGGCAGGGCGCACCTCCTCTCGCTCAGCTGGGCTTACGGGAAGGGCGCGCCGCCGAAGGCGCCTCCCACCTCCCCGTCCGTGGGTTTCTTATAGGGCTGCAACTCCAGCGGGCTCAACTTCCCGGCGCGCCTCCGACCCGCCCCTCGTGACGCCGCCGCGGGCGGGCCCCGCCGGCCCAGCGCCTCCGCGCCCCGCGCCCGCGCCTGCCGCAGCGCGCCGCAGTCCGTCCCCCGCGCGGCGCTGGAGCCAGTGTGCTGCGGCCTCGTCACGTGCCCCCAGCGGCCGAGGAATAGGTCTGATCAATTTCTGTCCGCGTCTGCCTAGGCTGTGCGCCTATCGATCATATTGGTGTCTGCACAAACCCAGGAGGAGGAAGGTGCACGCTGCAGGTCCTCGGATTTCGGGGTTCGTGGGGGTGGGGCGAGGGAGGGCAGAACCCAGCCTGGCCAGGAGCCGGTCCGGGGCTGATTTAGTGTCCAACCAGCCAGCTCTTTGGACGTGTGCCTGCAGCCTGTACCCGCGGCCAGACCGAGGGAGCCTCGCTGCGTAGAGAAGCGTCATGCTCACACGTCCCCACAATCCTTTGCCCGCCCAATGGCCAGCGGGTTCCCTGGGGTGGGGGTGGGGACCGCTCCTGCCTGGGATCACCGCCAGAGGAAGACCCGGGATGGGGGTTAAAGCCCTGTGATGAATTGTGCAGCTGTCCCATGCCTGGGGAGCATTTTTGTCGCCTGAATCTCTGACTTTTGGCTTCCTTTCTATGCAAGCCGGAACCACGGGAAGATGGGAGTTTGTTTTTGCTTGCTTAGGACCCTGCAGGCGTTCCTTTCTTCCAGGCACTTCTGGCAGGAAATAGGCAGCTCTTGGTGTGAAGCTTGTCCTGTGGAGTGAAAGGGAGAGGGTGCAAGAGCACTTTGTGGAGAGCAGTGTGGGTCAAGCAGAGAACATTGTCTACACCTCAGAGTTCAAGCCTGCTGAGTGTGGTGTGGTCAGTTAACTGCGAGAGCCCATATGTGATTCCTGTTACCATCATATGTGAACCAACTAAAAAGGCCCACATGGTCATGATAAAGAAGTACAATAACGTTTTTTAAAATGAAAAATGATTTTAAAAAGTATAGGAACGTTTCTTTCTGAACTGTTCCCAACATCTGTCATTTCCCTCTTTTCCACTTCACAGTGACAGGGGTGTTATGGGGGAGAATTATTCAGTTTCTGATGAGCCCACCGCATTGGCCTCTCAAAAGAAGAGGAGTAACCAGGGCCTGGTTTGAGTGACTGAAGTTTCAGAAGGGAAGACATCGTACGGAAGGCAGAAGAACTCAGGGAGTTGCCTCACTAGAGTTTAGGCTCCATGGGAAGAGGAGTTGTGGGCCATTTCTAGGCACTCCTGAAATTTTTTGTTGAATGAGCGAATGAGTATATTTGGGAGCTTTGGAGTAGACTTGACTTTAGTTAGCATCACAGATTTCCTCAACAATGCATTATTTTCAAGGAGGTTGTGTGTGTGTGTGTGTGTGTCTGCACATGCGCGCGCGTGTTCATGCATGTGCATACACAGAAGTAGAGAAAGAATCCAGTCATGGCCTTGATACTAGTGTGGTCTTGTATCTACTGTCCACTGTGTGTGTGTGGGGGGGGGCTGAAAAGACTAAACTGGAAACATATGACTATATACCCCTCTAATCTTTCACAATTCAGAATATATGTTACAGCCTCGCTGTTTCAGTGCTTTGCAAATACTAAAAAATAAACGAGAAAAAATGACCCAATACTGGCGATAGGACCATTTGCAATCAATACTTACTGTCAGTTTGCTGTTGCTTCTAGTTCCGGTAGTGGTGAATTCTTTCCAAACATAAGAGGAATAAAGAAGTCACCTCCCCAGCTGTCATCATCTTCCAACAGATTGAGCAAGAATAGTTTGAGCAGTGCAGAAAAGGTGATGTAAACTTTAAGGGACAGTCCTGTTTTTTTTTTCTCCTTTTTGTGTATTTTCATGTATGTGTGTACATATCTGTGTTCACAGTATTTATTACTGAATATCTCTTTTTCAGACAGTCCATCAAATCCTAGATGATGGTCTGCCATGTGAATTTCTCAAGAAAAGGAATAGGGTGAATGAATGTGATCAGAAAAGCAGGTAAATAGTTTTCATATAATTGCTTTATCTTGCAAAAGGCATGTTGCCTCAGTTCTCCAGATTGAATATGTGTCATTGGAAAAAATAGGTCTGAATAAGAAATACACATTCATATTTTTCACCTAACACAAACGAGTGGACAGAGTGGCGTTACTTGTCAGCTTGCACAGGGGAGGTTCTGGGCGGTGTCAGCAAGTCCCTCCATCACTTTGCTCCATTGGTTTCCTCTATATTAAAGGGCACTATCAATAGCCATCTTCTGGAGGTGCAGGTGATAGCTGGTTGTAAACCAACGTTTTCACTGTACTGGTTGTGGATTCAGAATGGTGGCAATCTTTCATTGCTTTCTCCATCACTCATATTTGTTGAGCATGTTGAGCTGATGGCCGTGATGTAAATACTCCATATTTATTAATGAAGGGTAACACATTCTTGGTATGGTTGAAATCCCTGGCAAATGAACCTCTTGAGTTTTCCAGGAAGTATAATTATCTCCCATTTCTGTTTTCTATCTTCTGTTACAGAAAAGTACTTACTTTGGTTAAATGCTCTATTCTTGATGAATAAATTGAAGTACAGGTATTTTCAACTCTGATGTGAGATTCTGCCTTGGAGCATATTACCCCAGGAAGAATCCAGTGCTACACTAGTAACACACACAATATTCTTTGTTTGCCTCTGCTTGCCATTCACAAGACAGCACTAACTCTATTTTTCATTCATATTGAATTATAATGGCATCATATAATTTTATTTCTATTCTTTTAAATGCATCTTTCCTGAGCATGTTTCCTATATGGAAACAAACAAATGAGCTTTTAGTTTAAAGTATAGTTTTTATATGCTGTACTTTAACATATTCAGAGTTGAATTGGCTTAGAATCACTACCAGTGATTAAACAGTGTAAAATGTGCATTTTACATTATATTTACCTTTAACCTAAAATAAGTCTACAAAAGAAAGCTGTGGGTTTTATTTCTGAACATTTTTAAACTCTATTGACTATTAACAGACGAGATGGAGAGTCCTATAGCAGGTATTCTCCAGACCAATGTTGTTTAAAGCACACATGGTTGATCTAAAATTATGAAACAAGCACTTTGAGAATTGTGACTGGTTTTCTTAAATGCTAGCATTTGGTGTCAAGCAGAATCCACACGGTACTTGGGCACAGGCAGTCCCTAATGTTTCCTGAGCAGATCACTATGCAGAGAATTTTCTGTAAAGCTACTATTTCTGCAAGGATCCGGAGGCTCTAGGTTTTCTAAGGCCTAGCAATAGCTGAAAAGTATAGCCAGAGGATTCTTTTGGTTTCTCTAATCATAGCTCAATTAGACATTTTTTGGCTTTATGTGGTAAGAATTGCAGTTTTGTTTTTCACAGCAATACAAATGCTGGCCCATCTTGGAGCAAAGCCCAACAATCAAGGAAGTCTTCAGGAAAACGGCAGAGTAAATCCCAAGGATCCCATGTTTCCTCCCAGCTGAGAAGCAGCCTCCTGGGGGCCTCCGCCGGAGGCGAGCCCCAGGCCAGCACCCTGGGCTCTAGGTACAGAGAGGCCTCGGAGAGTACACTGTTTCTTCACTTCCAGTCCATGAAAATTATGAAGGAAGACGTGGAGGAGGACAGTGCGAGTGACCTGTCAGATTCAGAAAGAATTCCCATTCCTCCTTCTCCGCTCTCCCCTCCAGATCTCAAGCTTCGAGCTGAAGAAATCGATCCCATTGACTTTGACCTTCCCCCAGGTCAGGGCCACACCAAGCCCGAGTACCACTATCCTGACTTCCTTCCGTCCCCTTTCAACTCCTGGGACCTGCGGGATATGGCCCTGCTTCTGAACGCAGAGTGCAGAACCACGGATGTGCCCCGGGCCGGGGGACTCCTCGGGAAGTACATCGACAGACTCGTCCAGCTCGAGTGGCTGCAGGACCAGACTGTGCAGTGTGAAAAGGCGAAGGCGGCCAAGGCAAGGCCTCCTGCTGCCCCTGGGACCTTGGGGGCACTGAAGAGCCCTGGGAGAAGTAAGCTAATTGCTACTGCCCTGTCCAGGCCACTACCGTACCTCGAAGGGGCTTCAAAGTCAGGCCCTTCACAAAAGAAAGGTTGGCACCATGGAGAAGTTCACCCTTCCTATTACACCTTTGAGACTTCCCCTAGGTCCCCGGATGTACCGAGTAGCACTAGGTTATGTTCCCAGAAGCAAACCCCTGAGACAAGGACGGAAGAAAAGAAAAAGAGATCAAATAAGAGTAGCAAGCTGCAGCGCTGGGATTTGCCTTACAGTGACAGCAGCCCCAAGATGGAAACCAGTGGTAACATCCGGATTCCCAGACAGACAGCCATGATTCTGGACTCCGCAGACCCCTGCAAGAGCTCCAGAACACCAGCACATGCACACCTGAAGAAAAAGGGAAATACAAATAACTGTGGCCATGCCACTGTGCCCAGTGAGAAGAAACTCAAAGCAAATGGAGTAAAACAAAAGACATGCAAATTAAAATAATGATGATCTGCAAAGACTATAGACCTCAATACTGGAGCTCTTCCAAAATTACACTTTATGACTGACGGACAGCATTTTATGACTGACAGCTGAGTGGTTGATTGGCTCTTTAGTCCACCCCACCCCCCAGTAGTGTTATTTTCAGTAGTCTGTGTCTTGCAGTGACACTTTCTTTGCATTGACAGTCTTAGGCATTGAGAACCCTTTAGGTAAAAATTAACCAAAGTATGTGCCATATAAAGGGATCACATGGCAGTACTTGGGAAGAGTCAAGGAAACTTCTGGGTGGGACTGATAGGTTGGTGCCCCATTTCTTCTTGCATGTAAGCGTGTAAAACAGGGCAGACTGTTTGAAATGATGTGAAGTCCTAGCATTTGGAACAAGGCACTCTCCTGCTTTTGCGTAAGCTCCAAGCAGAATTTGTATTCATTTTATTCCCAGAGAAGCCTCATTCCTTCTGGGTC